TATCGTTCTTCAGGAAGGCAAAGGTCCCAATTCAGTAATCCTCCTTTGCAATACCTGTTGACTTGGATGCAGGCTGTGCAGAGGAACTAATGGGAAGAATACCCTGCTGGATCAGGCCTTTAGTGCTGACATATAGATCCCGAAAACTTCAGTGGGCATTGTGCATGATAAATCCTGGGCTGGAACCTTTATACTTACGTGCAATCATTGTCACAGTCATTTCAGTGGGATCTAAAATCAGAAATATAAAACTTAAAACAAGAAATTTACTGTTTAACTCCATGTATATCTTAAATGGCCTAGGAAGAAGGCAGATTACTATGAATCCACCTGTTCAGTTGTTGTTTAACTATATAAAGTGTCTAAAATGTACGGAGTGTCATAACAAATGAGAAGATAACAGCCGCTTTTTACTCAGCATGATAGAAAAGGGAAAAAGTAATGCAGAGGGAAGAGGAAAGAAGCATTAAGAGTACCTGCACTTTTACCTGTCAGTGGACACAGCTGGAGCGTCCCAATGGCCCTTGATCTCCTAGCCAATGGCAGCAGCCAGAAGGTGCCTCACTTCAGCCTTGCAGTCCCTGTTGCCTTTAGACTGCCTGTCCTGTTGACAGTGTGCCCTGAGTGTGCAGACTAGTGTCAGTCGCATGCAGCCGTTCTAGTCCACCTTCTCTTGATGGACTTGATCACATGGCAGACATGCACCTTTCCGAAAATGGAGATCTTCGTCCTTGACTGAATAGCAGCACACCAGTTTCGCCAACCTACCAAGATGTTATTGAGGAGAGTCAAACGTTCACAAAAAAACTGCATCTAGACTTTCTTGAGTGAGTATGGCACCCACGCTATAAACAATGGTTTTTGCTACAACATTGCTTTGCGTTCAACTGGGGATCTCAGGTAGGAGCGGAATGAGTTCGATTTCATGTCAGACAATAAAAAGCAAAGCCAATGTTATTTGGCATTATTGGTCTCATCTCCCTCTATGAATTTTCTGCTTTTTTGTTTACATCCCACTCTAAGAAAATGCTTTAATGCACCTATGAATAAGATCCACTGAAAAAGTGAAAAGCAGTGAGCAAAATGCCTTTCTGTATTCACTGCAGTGCAGTTTTAAAGACAATCCATATTGAGGCAGAATCCATGAGCTATGGATTCAGGAGCAACAATAAATTTGTGGACATCCAGATATGTTGGTCATTCCTGGCTGCTTATTTTGTTCATTTCAGAGCAATGCATAATGGATGACTAGGACAGAAATTCTACAGCAAAAGCTGCTGCGTGGCCTTCTTTCTGAGCTGTTCTGCAACAAATGTTTTCAGGAATGTTGAGTTTCCCAGCAAAGTTGGTAGAAAAGCAGAGCTAATCCAACTGCTACATTCCATACACAACTCAGGGTTTGCTTATAAACAGGCAACCAGCCTGGGGAAATGATTTAGTGCTGCATAATTAACACTGTTAGGGGTATTACTTCAAATGTGTCATACACATTTACTTTGCTTTTTTTTTTTTAGTTTTGAACACAAGTATGGTGAGGAACTTGCACTCTTGGAAGGGCAGAGAGAGAAAGTTAACAGGACATACAGAAGGTTTGTTTTAAAACATTTAAAAAAAAATAAAGTTATGGCTTGTTTGCTCATCCTCAAGATATAATTGCAAGGACAAATGATTTGACTCTAACGAATGGATAAATGTTTTTAAGGCTGCATCCTTATATCATTTACCAGAGTATGGGCAGCCATTTCTATGTACCATTTAGAAATGTACAGGATTCAACTGTTAGCCTATCTGTTTTCTTTAGAAAATCTAAAACATACAGTAGTGAAAGCAGCTGAGGAAAAGAGCAGTTTATCAGCAAGGGGGAAAATAATCTATCAGTGCTTGTTCTAGTGAACTAAAGGTCAAACTAGATGTGAGCCAACTTTCAAAACTGAAGAGGGCTGGAGCCGAGAGAGGGCCACTCAGAAACAAGAGGGGTTACCCACATGCTTGGGAGAAACTTGAAATGTGCAGGGGAGAACCCCAAGAAACACCCACACACAAGATTCCTTCCCCAAAACCAAGGGCCATTCTACCCGCCCACACACAGCTCAGCGAGGCCTGAACCTTCGCAGTAGCTGCAGAATATTGTGTGTCAGTCAGAAAAGAAAAACCGGAGGAGGTGGGCAGACACCCAATGGGATATCTTTGACATTTTGTTGCAGGCCCTCCTGTACATTTCCAACATGAAAAGGGCAATCTTTAAAGCACTGCATGAAAGGGGAACTTTTTCCTGGAAAATCTGTGTTTCTCTGAAATAAAGGAGTTGACCTTTCATCTTTAATATCTTCATCCATAAGAAAAATTGCCATCGGCATACCAAAGAAGACCTTGATTCCTCTTTGGAAGTGTACTGAAAACCTCTCTGGAGGAGCTCATCTTTTCTTTTGCTCATTATTCCCAGTAAATTAATCTTAGGATAGCACTTCTCCAAGGATTATTTTACTATATTTCTATACCAACTTAGTGCTTCTAAGCCATGTGATACAAAAAGGAAAGGAGAGGGGAAAATGGAAATGAAGTCATTTAAGTACCATCTCTTATGTTCTGTTATGGAATGACCAGAGTTTCTTTCATACGTTATTCACACGAAGAGGGTTGTATGATGACTGGAGTGTAAGGCCATCCTGCTGCCCCCCCCTTCTGAATGACTACTCGAGTCCCCCCACAAGAGGTGGGCTGGTCCCAGAGGCTATTTCCATCTTTCCTTCAGATGCAGCAAGTGGAAGTGCTGATGGATAACTTCCCTTAGGAGGTGCAAATGTTTTGAACTTGGCCCTAAATTTCTAAAAAGTTTATTTAAAAATAGTATGGAGCAAAATTCAAGCATAGGAGAAGTGGAGTTATACATATGTGAGCTAGCAAAAAGGAATCCTGCACTGGGGTAGGCACTTTTTCTTGGCCTGCTGGAAATAGTTGAAGAATTAGCTTATTCTCTTGTCGTAAGAACTTCAAGACATTTGCCCTCATCATGAAGGAAGGCATATAGCGAAGCCTCTGTTTACACCACAACATGATGAAGTATTAAAAGAAAATGCCTTATGTTTGTATCTGATAAAAATCCAGACTAGCACAATGAAGTGTCACTCTGACCAGGGGAAATGGGGTGGAAAGCTCTAGTAAGCAGTGGGGCACCTGTGCAGGAAGGGGGCATAGCACAGAGCTCCAAACCCTCTTGCAATGTGTGATGCTCATGTTTTTTTCCTAGGATGTTGACAAGAATCACCAAGAAGCCTACCGAATCAAAGCTGAGAGCAGAGAAGTTTATTGCCCAAATGGTATCTCACATTTTACAACCGTATCTTCATTTGTTACTTGTGACTGAGTTCAAGAGTGAAGAATCTGGACTTAGAGGCATACTAAAGGAGGATATGGCGAGAGTGGAGAAGTGGAATGAATGTGTCACATATCCTCACTTCACAAGATATAGATATGTGCTTGAACAGGTGTTTTCAGGAAGGCAGTCTGAGGAAGAGGAGCAAACCATAGTGCCAGAAGAGGATGTTCCTAGCCTTACTGACACATGGAAAGTTCTCTGTGGTCTCTGTGCATCACAGATACGGGCTCTGGGCCTGAATGGAGCCTGCTTTCGGGAAGATCTCACAGCTGGGAGTGTTTTGGCGGGCCCTCCGCCCCCACCCTGATGTTTGGGATACATGCAAGGAGTTTTTGCCCATACCCTCAGTTCTTTGACCGCCTTTTGTGGTGCCTCAGGAACTTCCTTTGTCTTTCTTCTGAGAACTTTTGTTCTTCTTTCTTCTACTTCCAAACAGTTGCCTTTCACCTACTAAATTCTTTTCACCTGTTCCTGAGGGAAAGTCACTCTGCCTATTTGCCTGGGGCATATGTTGGGAATGGGTACAAAGATATGGGGCAGATGGCTAATGGACCTGCAGCTGTGGCTCAAACAAGGGCTAATCCACATCACCAGGTCAGCTGGGAAAGCGAAGGGGCTGGTGCCTCTGCACCTCCAAACTGGCTGAGAGTCACGGAGTCTGCAAGCAGTGAGACCTGAAGGAACAAGAGGGCACTTCAGTGGGAGGACTGACCCATGCTGGCCCAGCCCATCTGCCAGTCCCAAGGGCTTTGAGAGCGCTGACCCCCCTCCCCACAGTCCTGGGGGCCAGGAGGGGTGCTGCTCATGCAACCTCTCTTCCTGCTCATGCTCAGGAGGGGGCCCTGCTGGCCACTAGAGGGTTGGTGGCTTGGTCTGGTGGCTGGTCATGGTATTGCCTGCGATCCTGCCATCTGCCACTCCAGCGCTGGTGCAGGGCTGTGGAGAAGATGGTGCAGGTGGAGTCTCATTGCCTTTCGCCTGTCCAGCAATGTCACCCCGAAAGTTGATAGCCTCGCTACCAAGTGCATGTCACAGAGCACATCGTTACACAGTGGCATTCACTGCTGCACGGAGTGTTTTGTATGGCACCAGTCACACACAAAGCTTCACTCTGAGCTCACCGTGTTTTGTCTCTGTTCAGGACCTGCTCCCGGGTAGTCTTGGGAGTCCCAGAGACTAAAAGCTGGGACTCATGTGGATTAGGCCAGCGCATCCCAAAACAGAGAGGCTGCACTGCGGCTGCCAGGTGCCTCTTGCATTCCCACGGCTGGAGTGCAGGAGACTCTTCCCTGGATTGAGATGGAATGGAAGGATTGTGGGGCTAGAGAATGCTTCAGAGCTACAGATAAATCCCCCCATAGGTGGCTTGAGCTTTTCATACAGCCTATCATTTTTTTCAACAATTAATGCAACAAAATTTTGGTCTCTTATTTGAACAGGAAAATGCAAAGCTACACCAGCCTTCATCCAATCGTGCGAACCCTGCAGCTAAAGACCTCCAGCATTAAGAAATGCCTAGGAAAAGTTTCTTGAATAATTCTCTACAATTAATCAAGCTCAGCAATGCATTTCATATTACGTGTGCCTCTGTCTTTCAAGGTAATAAAGAACAAGCCACGGCAGCTTTTTATTTCAGTTTCATTCATTTCATTTTTAATGAGCATGCTTTGACAAATCAAGTGTTGTAAAATCCAGACAAAAATCAACATTTTGAATTATCTCGAATGCATATCTCAGGAGAGTATATATATATTAGAAAGATGAACAGAACTCTTCATTTTTTTATTTGGAAATACATTCTAAAAATGTTATTGCTCATTATGACAAAAGCCGCAAAGCAACTTAGTTTTGGTGGCACAGCAAGTCCTGCCAGCTTCAGAGTGAACCAAATTATTCATTATAAATTTGGCATCAGGCCTCAAGAAAAATCATAGCTCCACCACCAGGGTTGGTAGCAAACAGGCTGCTTTCCACCAGGCCTAACCTTTGGTCATTGCTTTTATAGAAGGCCTCTTTCACATTTGTTAGGAATTGTTCCAACTTCTCCATAGGAACCATCGACACAGTGCAGCCACCCCATCCTGCTCCGGTCAGGCGTGACCCAACTGCTCCAAACCGCCTAGAAGAAAAACAAAACACGTGAACAGCTTTTTGAAGTCATACATTAAAATGAGCATCATACGCAACATGCAAGATTTCTTTTCCAAAGCTTAAACCGGGGATAGACAACTGGCAGCTGTTTGTGTGCGTGCATGTGTGATACGCCGCTCACCTCGAGAGGCTCTCCGTCCATCCCAAGGTGCTCAAGCAAAGGGCTCTTTAACCTCTGGCCCACTGCAAGTTGCATTAGAGGCCCCAGATGAGTGATATTTCAATGGAAGGGCTGGATTTTCTGTTCATGTGAAGGAGGGCTGCATTAACAGCGCCCTTTGCCTGGGCGCTGGCTGGAGCTAGGAGACAGTGAGCAACGCCAGTGTTGTTCCATTTCAGGCTTTAAAACTATGGCTTGTTACAACTTAGTTACCAACTGGATGCTTAAAAAGTACATGTCTACGTAGAAAGCAAGTTGTTTGCAACCAGCTTTTCAGATGCTATTTTGCTTCACAGTTTTGTATCTTTTCTAACATTCAAGAGCATCTGTTTAAGAGCTGAGGAGGAGTAACAGGGAAGAGAAAGACGTAGTTTGTGACCAGCACATATTAGTGAAGATTCTTAAGTTTATATGCCAGTTGGTAGTCATAAAATAGATTTCCAAATCTGGTAAAGTCCAGATGCTTAATAGCTCTGCTCACTGGAATGGGATATTTCATGCTGTCAAGATGCATCAGCTCTTCCCATTCATAGCAACAGTCAGAACAAGGGAACATTGTGTCGTCATCCAGAGAATTTCCAGCCACTTGAGTCATGTAGTGTTACTGAAAGGACTTGACTTTTTTGACTTCTGAAATCAACAGCAACCCAGTTCGCTGTGAAGGCGATCGACCTGGCATGTGTATCTGGAATTGGTGATGGGTTGGGTTGGAGCCAGACCAGCAAGAAGGAAGTGCTGTGGGCTTGCTGTTCCGGGGTCGGGGCAACGACACCCAGCCTATCCTGGGCAAGGCTGCAGTTTCCCTGAAGGAACAGATTCACAGCTTGAGGGCCCCATGCAGCCAGCTTCGAGACGAGAGAGCCCCAAGTAACCTTGATGACAAAAATTGCCTTTACCAGTGTCGGTTAGTTTGCAAGCAGCAGCCTGTTCCAGAAAGTGAGAGTCTAATCAGAGTTATTCATGCCCAGCTATGCTCCTGACTGGATTGCTGTAATGGGTTGCTGCTATTGCTGCAACTACCTTTCAAGATGGTGCAGAGCTTCAGCTGGTACAGAACACAGCCTATTTGGATCATATCTCAGTAATGTTAACAGTGCTAAACTGATCCATCCAACAGTTCCAAGCCATTCCTAACAATGGAACTGTTAGGAATGTAACTTTGTAATAATGTAACTTTTTTTTTAAAATCCTACTGGGATGGCTTTAAAAAAAATCTTCGCCATTAATAGCTTCCAATACCTTTTACCAACCTATACATAAAACAAGAAGAGTTGTCAATCATCTAAGACAAAAAGAGAAATTGGTTTGGTCATTTAAAAATGCACTTTCCAATTAGTGGCTAAACATTTTGGCAGTCCAAATATTTTTACGATTTTTTTGGCAAAGCTATTCTAACAAAACCAGAAGATCCAGTCAAGCCCCCAAAACATCTGCATATGCAGTTTAAATCCTCGTAAGAGCCGACAATCTGAGAGGCATAAGCGATGCTGTGCGGCACCATGTTTCAGGAAAACTTACTTAGACTGCTGTGCAGCAGCTGGCAAGGGTTGTGTAGAACACAGCCATTTAATGTATGCTGTTGCTGCCTATTAGCATAATCATGCCAGGTAAATATTTTTGTTACTCAGCTTTCTTAATGACAGAGAGTAAATGGCCAGGGAGGAAAAACACTTCAACACATCAGTAGAACAAGCCGGAATAAAATACAGTCATTGCTTCAATAACTTATCTTCTGCATGTGGGAACATAAAAGGAAAGAATAGGTTGGTCACATGCAACACGCTTCCTATCATAAATATGCTGGACTGGGTTTTCAGTAGGAAACTTTGGAGAAAAAAATGTGAAGCCACTTGGACAAAGAAAAAGCTGTAACTATGATTTGTCAAGTCAGACAACACGAATCATATTCGGCACAAACCCGCGATCATTCAAACCACAATTTCTGACTCTAGTGTGCTCACTGATCAGTTCAGGCTTCAAGCCAGCCATATAGTTAAGCTTCTTTAACCTTGGTCAGGCATTATATCTTGTACTGATTCTTCCCATGAGAATGGTCCTGAACAGCCAAGTATAAGAAGATGGATTCCAAGACTTTCCCGCTACATGTATTTTTCCCTGCTTTCTCATGCTAAAAATTCATAAAGAGTTGGGTTGATAGAAAGGGTACACTATGAATTGAGATCATGAGACAAGGTGATCTTACACTGGCCCACAAGCATGCGGCGCATTATACTTCTCCAACCCTGTTCGACATGAATCTCCATCACAAAGTGAAAAAAGTCACATGGAAATGTGAAAGTTGTACATTCTCTCCTAAAGAAATCTGTCTTAAGCCATCAAAACCATGAAGCCCCAACCCACGTGAATCTATTTCCAAGGTACCCTCAACTGGCTAAGATTTACTAAATGGGTCTCTTATGTGGATTCTATTAAGTGACCTCCTGTTTGCAAATATAATGAACAACAGCTGGATACATGATTCATTTCTTGGAGTTTCTCAAGCTTTGAACCTTTCTACATAAGTATAACTGCTCAAGCTTCCAATAGGTTAGGCAACAGCATTTTATGTATTCTTAGTTATGGGGCAACTAGATTTTTATGAGGTTTATCACTAGCAGTTCAGATCTGCAAGGAACTGTCTTAACCACAGTGGCTAGTAAGAGTCAGATGGTATTCCATGATCCTTATAAAGCCACTAGATCAGGGTTAATTTCTAGCTTGCACTTGGACATTTAAAACCGCCTTCCATAAGCCTCCAGATGCAAGGCTAAGGTCCATAATGCAGGGAGGGAGGTAAGGGAGGGGGGAAATGGAAAGGTGAGCAGAGTAGACTCACAGGGAAATCAACAGCACTGCTGCTGTATGAACAGTAAGTTGCCAATAGCAAGTACCTGTGACTCGAAGAGGCCTCCATGAGTAATAACTGGCCTGCCCTTGACATGGCAAAAGAAACCAAAAAATGGTTTTGGGTTGGAGAGTAGGGTGGCCAGAAGCAAAAGAAGATGGGGCTCGTGCACCTTTAATAGCTGTATGCAGGAGCTATTGAAGGTGCAAGAGCCCTGTCCTTTTTCGCATCTTGCCATGTAAGCGGAAAACTACATCTCACAAGGAGAAAAAAAGTGCACTGTGGATCTCACTGGTTGGTGGGGTTGACTAATTCCCAAAGCAAATACATCTCGAAAACCTCTGCTATAAGCTATAATATAGCAAACTGCACCAAGCAGTATGCCTGTTTTTATATCTTATATTTAGTAGGTCATAGAAAGCAAGGTCAAATTCAGTGTTAGGAATTGCTTGTTCTGTTTGGTGCTCTAACTATGCTTAACAATATTTTGAATTATCCTCCTCTTGGCATCACTGCTACACAAGCCTCGTTGACTCAATTCCACATAATATAATCTATATAATTATAGTTGGGTTTGAGGTCAAAACTGCATCTGAAATAGAGATGTTTAAGCTGTAACACTACTCTATTGATTATTTCTGCACTTGCTCGAGATACTGAAATAATTATCTCTGCCACCAAGTTTGCCCGCACTTCTTGTGTGGAAACCAACCCCTCAGGGGCCTCATCACTAAGAAGGAATAATAGCCTTCACTTAGCATACCAAGCCACCAGAACTTCCTGCCAAGCAGTTGTGGCACAACAAATTATGCTCTATGGCTGTGCTGAAAGTAAGTAGCTTCTTCCCAGAGCATGAGTTTCAAACTAGCCAAGTCAGCATCAGGATATCAGTGCAAGCAGTTACTATTAACTAGGTATGCAAAGTTACACATGAAAAGTTGGCAGGGACAGTGGTACTGGATAAAACAGATGTCATGGAGTTTTATTTTCTGTGTTAATGAGATGTGGGAACCTATTTTCTTCCATTGTGGGAAATGCCTCTCAAAAGTACAACCAAGTTCCTTCAGGAGCCAGTTTAAATTTCACCAAATGCTCATTATGCACCTTTTTAGTAGGCTGAATTTGTATGGTCTACAGCAGAAGGTAAGCAGCTTATGCCTTCTGGATGTTTTAGCTCCCATCATCCCTCATTGGCTATGCTGGCTGGGGTTGGTGGAAATGGTAAATAAAAACACCTGGAGAGTCAAGTAACCCAACCCTGGGCTAAAGAAAATGTTTGGGATTGATCTTGCTTGGAACAATACGGGTAAGGGAAATACAAATGGGTGGGGAAGAGTCTGCACTTTTCTGAAGGACCCATGTAAAAAGTGCTGGACTCTTCAGTCAAGACGTATGCAGAGCTTTTCAACGTGGTAGCAATTGCCATTTAAGCATTCAAACCTCAGTGGGGGTGCATTGTGGCTTGTTGCTGCATGTGAATCCAGCAAGGGTGATTTGTTGACAACCCACCCAAAACCCATGGGCTGTTTTATAGTTGCAGCATGGTTTATTAACCACCCCAAGGAGCCGCTTTCACCAGGAAGATATGGCAAACTAAAGCCCACCACTACCATAGCTTGAATTGTCAAAATGGTTGCCACAACAGGAAGCTGCATGGGGAAATTCACCCACAATGGCTTCTCGTTACATGTGAACCAGGTGGGTGTCTTCCTGGTGCATTCTGATGCTGACAGACAAAATACTTTACATTTGTTTAACGCAATGGATCAGTGTCGTGTTTTATCTGCAATCCAGCCCAAAAGAAAGGTCATTTTCCATGGAACTTACAGACAGATGTCCACCAGTTGATTCAATTCAGGACAGCTGCATTCATACAAGTCCTTGCAGCTGGCATGGCTCTGGTTCATTAAATCTCCCAACAACTGCACTGCATCGTCAGGTGCCTCTGTACAGATCTTCTTAAACTCCAGAACTCTGGCAGCTTCAGTGTACACATGCTTAGCACGCTGATATAACTTAAAGGTGGTCACTACATTTAGACAGAAACAAAATATTTGATGTTGGAACAAATGGAAATTTAGATGATTTATTGCTATCAGATGTGGCTGTGTCAATTCAAGAGCAAACTACTAAGAAAAATGATCCAATACATTTAAATCTACTTTTGTTCCCCATTTAGTATCCGTATAATGCCTACATTGCACCAATCCAAAGCAGTTGGAAATTACACTCCAAAACTTGCTCATCCCCGTTTTCTACAGCCCATATCTTATGCCTACCCTTCCGAGAGTTCCAGTATTCCAGAGCCTCAGAAGCACTACTAGCCTACCACAGCATCCCTTAATTTGGACAAACATACTTCATTGCCCTTGGTATCAGACATTCTCCAATTGTACCTCCATCGTCCCCAGAGTCTTATGTGTGCGTGCATCTCCATTCACTAATCTCTACTGAGGCCGCAATTCTAAAAACACATAGCAAGTCCTATTCAACCCAGTGAAGTTGATTTCAAAATAAACACCCACAGGATCGCACACCTAATCTCCACTGCTTTTTCTCTTGAATTCCTTTATTATTTATGCATTCATTCCTTTCCTGCCTGGCAACAGGCCCTCAAGGCAGCTTACAATTCAAATGTTAATATTTCATAAGGATAACATTTTCTTTAAATATCAGCACTATAAAAATTATAATTTCGTATGCATTCAGTTTCTCATGACAAGTTCAAATGTCCATAGTCAATATGACCTTCATCTGTGCCAAGGTATCAAAGATTACATCCACACCCAGAATTCTGTAACATCTGCCATCGTCTATAAGGAACGCTTTACGGTAGAAGTGGTTAACACATGTAGCTGCAAGTATGAGGTATTTTAATGTGTGAATAAGCACTACAGTTGAAGAGATGCAGGTCTTTCGACAGACTCAGAATGGATCCTTCCAGTGGAAAGACCTCCATTATCTCTGGCAGGGACACAATCTAATCAGGTGGTGATCTCAGCCAACATAAATGTTCTTTCTTCTGGGGTCTTGGACCTTATGGCCATGTTGCACACTGAGCGTTATATAAATCTCCAACTTGATTTTTCTTACAGGAAAAGTTGGGCAAAATACAGTATTTGGATGCACTCAATAGCTCTGCTTTTTGCAAGAAGTATGACCACCACTGTTTGGCAAGAGTTTATCGTGCACTTCTTGTGAAACTTTCCCATACCAGGAGTGGAAGTGCATATGGAAGCAGACGCTTCGTTGTTTCTCTTCAGATGTGTCAGAAGTATTCGGCTTGATGTAAAACATATCTGCTATTAATGAGAATGGACCCAACAGGACAGTTGCCTAAATACATCATCGTTTTGGAATGTGCTGAAAACCCACAAATGCAAAGGGGACAGCACAAGTGCCCCAGTCTAAATGAGTCCCCTGGGAAGCGTCACTGGCACTTTACGCAATCCCCACTTCCCCAGATCTAGTCAGGAGCGCAACTTGTCCTTGAGCCCTTGAACTATTTTTGCACGGCATGATGCACCATGTCACGGCCGGGCAGTTTATAAAGGTACACGAGGAAAATGGATCAAAATCGGGCTGTCTCCCTTTGAAGGCATCGGTTTACAGCAGGGAAAATTTAAAATGTGCATTTGTTTAGGGCATATCTGAAGTTGCGTGAGGGTTTGCCATTGCTCACACTCACTTGTAAATCACCACTGAACAGTAGTAACTCAAAGAATGAACTCAAAACACATCTGGTTTCAGTTTGGAAGCAAACATCTTGCCAAAGGCTGCGATTGATTCAGAGACCACCCTTCGGTACAGCAAGACTCTGCTGGCCGGATTACCTTAAAGCACTTCGTGGCTCTCTCAAGCTCATCACGTTACATATTGGCAGTGGGTATCATTGTTTCACCCCTGCCCGCCCACCAGAAACTGAGAAGGCATGTTCTTAACAATGTCGTATCGTGTAGGAGAAGCCTTTATAACCTCCACATTTGGTTTTGCTTCTAATCTAGTGTAATCCTTTCAAAGCTGTTATTACGTTTAAAATGAGAGAAGCCAGCACTGCACTGTTGTTTTCTTAGACTCTCATGCTAATAGTGCCTGTTTGCCAAGCAAATGTGAGCTAAGGAATGGTATCATTTCATTAAATGGAACTGTTTTTATAGTATTTAGCTGATAGTGGCTCATTCCTGGAGAAATCCACAAGTGCTAACATATGGTGGATTCTGGCAATGGAGATTCATGTGGCAGCCCTTAAAACTCAACCATGTAGCACCTGCAAGGTACAGATGTGGTCATCTGTCCACCTACACAGGTGAGTGTTATCTACACAGGTCCTCTGCTTTCTAGACTTGCAAGCAGTTGGGAAAGATGGCAATTCTGGGCTTCAATGCATCGCTAGAAAGAAGCAATAAATCCTTCAGGCAATACAAGTGCCATTCAGTAAGATTTTCAGCCACTATTACTTAGCTCCAGTTTTTCTGAATCTATCCAAAGAGCAATGTGAAAGACTATTCTACTTTTACAAAAGGAACCACATGTTTAAAGGAGTATTTTAATAGCTTTTGCAGGGCTTTTCCGGTCCAGTTGAAACGTTGTGTACTAGTTTTAAAAATCAGTAGTTTCCAGTCATCTGGCGCAAAAATACATATGGCAAAGCAGCAGATAACTAAGGTGACCGATTCCACTTTGTTTTTGTCCTGGGGGAAAACGCACAATAGCAAAACTGTTCATTTGAACACATCTGCTCGAGCAATTCTGTTCTAGCATACAAGCAGAGTCACTTCTCCAAAAAGCACAAAGGGTGCAACCCTAAACAGAAAAGTCACAGAACTCCAACATCCCCAGTCAGCATGCTGAACGTTGTCAGGCCTTTTCCTCTAAAGCATGCATAGGATTGCGCTTTAAATGTGCCAAACCAGGCCTCTAAAAATAAGAGGTGTTTTAAAGATACTGTTGGCCCGTTGGCCCACAAGACCCTTACACAGAATGACAGTGTCGGAGTGTTCTTTGCCCACCTCCCTGCTTCATGCAGAACGCCGCGGGAGCATCCCTGACAGACGGCCATCCATCTAAAGTCCATCTAGCTGAAAGTTACAATCTACAACTAATACAGGGTATGACTCTGCAAGCAGCGCAAAGCCCTACCATTTTAAAAGGCCCTGATTGAAATCTCTCTTTCAAAGTCTTCCCCCTCTTTGGAGATCAACAGCTGCTACTCTCCAACACTGGAGTGTAATAAGTGAAAAAGAAACCAGGAGCGGAATGCACAGCCGCCCATCAGCGAGGCCGTTTCCTCAAACGGAGGCACAACACCCACTTTCCACTACTTCCCACAAGCATTGTGCAGAACCCATGAGCATGAGATGGGGCTGATGCCCACAGGTGAGCTGAGAGGAAATACATTTCTCAAAGCCACTTGCTAGGAGGCATGAGGAAAACGCATGCATGTTCTGTCTGTGGGCTTCTTGGAGGCATCTCATAGGGTGTCCTCTTCTAGAGCGGACAGGTCTCTACTTGAATGGCTGCCCTGTCCAATTCTGGTTTAAAGATAATGCACATGGCACCAGCAGGCCTCCTGGTTACAAACTTCCACACTACAGTGAGTACAACCATGTTTTTACACTCCGTTTTTCTGAAACAGCACATATACAATGAAAGAACATGTACAGATTTTATGCAAATGACCTTTTAGGCGATGCATTTCCTCTTTTCTCGTTACTGGTCACCCTTGCTAGGAAGAAGGAGTGGCATGAGTAGAATTGTCTGAGTCAGTGGCAAAATCATTTCACTAGCCTAGGAGGCAATGCGCCTCGACTCCAGATGGAGGGGCACCATCTGGTGTTCTGGCTCAGTCAGCAAAATGTCGTAAGCAAGCCCTGCTTTTCCTACCTTTGTTGAGCCAAACGCAGCTTGTGCTTAAAATGCTTATGTTGCAAGCTGACCTCAGAAGGAATAAGTTGCAACATTTGGCCCACAGTGAGTGCAACCCTAACAGGATGACCCCAAGACCCTGGAGGCAGATGCTCAGGCAAACTTCAAATTTCCCAAATCATGGGATCCTGGAATGCAAATTCTCCAAGCCCAAGTACACCAAATTTATTTGGCTGCTGTAAAATGTATGCCTTTGTCTCCATCTGTTTCAGGATTATGGGTCTCTCTACCATGGATGTCTTAAATCCAGCAATAAATACAGGAAGGCTATTTCAAACATTTACTGAAAATCCAAAGGGTTTGTTGCATAGAAGAAAACAGCAAGATCCAGCTTTGTGTTCTTTTAGTGCTCAAGTCACAGCCATGGCTTCTTATGTCATCCAAATCTCAAACTGTAGGGTATGCGAGGGATAAACAACCCTCATGTAAGAGCAGGTTGCTTACCTGTAACTGATATTCTTCGAGTGGCCATCTGTGCAGTCACACATATGGGTTCTGCGCCTGCGCAGTGCTTTTGGCCGGAAAGATTAACAGCTAACGGTTTTTGGTGGGAACTCTGCTCCCCCTCCCCCCTAGCATTATATAAGGAGCAGAGTGTCCACCATTTTCCAGTCTTTGAAAGACGGATGTTCGCTCTCTTAATAAAGTTATTGTCATAATGGCAAAAAAGCCAAAACTTTCAGTGGTACGACAAATATCTAAAGAGATCCTAGCATCGAAGAGAAGGAAGTCGGACCACCCATTACACCAAGCGGAGTCGGAGGGTGGGTTGTGTGACTGCACAGATGGCCACTCGAAGAACATCAGTTACAGGTAAGCAACCTGCTCTTCTTCGTCGTGGCCTCTGCGCATCACACATATGGGTAGAATAACAAGCTTACCCAGACTTGGAGGAGGGAGGTGTCATCAGCGAAGAATAGAAGAGAGGACAGCCCTGCCAACGAGCAGTCTTGTCTGGCGCAGACATCAAGTCTGTAGTGTCTGGCAAAGGTACATGGGGTAGCCCAAGTGGCAGCTCTGCAAACATCTTCCATCAGAACTCCTGATGCAAAAGCCGAAGAAGCAGTCACAGCCCTTGTAGAATGACCTCTTGGAGTAGATGGT